TTTCATAAAGCAAAGGCCCCAGGATGGAGCCATTTCAGAACATAAGATAGCTGACGTCCCATTTTGTGTTTGTGGTGTAAATATGTATGTGCACGGGTCTACGGTGCTGTGCACAAGTCTGTGTGTATAGGTGCTGTTTGTGTATGTTGCGCAGGTTTGTGCCTATGAATGTATCTGAGTTGTGTGTGCATGTGTGTGCATATGTGGTATACATATGAGTATTTGAAACATGTGTGCATAAATGTGTGTCTAAGTCTGTCTGCATGACTGACATGCTCATGTTCTTTGTGTGTGCATGAGGTGAGTACATGTGACTACTTTGCATGCATGTACACGAGAAGTTGGAAGTGTGCTTGTGTATATGTATGTGCATGTTTGAAATGTGTGTGTCTATGGTCTGTGCGTGTGCATGCTGAGTTGTATGTCTGAAGTGTGCACCCGTATGTTTCTGTGTGGTCTCTTTGGGTGCATGTCTGAATTGTGTGTGTGTCTGCATGACTGACGTGACTCCATGTTTGTATATGTAGACTGATGACAGTAGTCATGCGCACACGTGCCACATATGTATGTATATTTGAATATGAGATTCTCATTGATAATATGCAGGGACAACATGTTGAGGAGTATAATCCATCCCATACTTCCTGGATATCTTTCATGCTTTTTTCCAACTTCTTAATGCCAATCAACATAGCATATAATCTGTTTAATTATCCCTTACCTACCTCTCCCACCATTAACATATAAGTCACACGAAGGGTTTTGTATCTTATCTGCTTACTTCTGAGTGCTTCTTAGAAAAAATATGTGGCATATAAGTACTCAGTAAATAGCTGGTTTAAGAAGTGTAAGGAAATTTAGAAAAGCAAAACAAGATTACTGGGTAGCTTTATTGAAAGCTGTGTTCTTTAGAGTATACTCTTTTGGGGGTGATTTGACTCTAGCATTTTTGTTTTGCCTTTTACTTATTTTACAATGCTAGGATTTAGAGATAAGTAATAAAAATGCAGGCCGGGGGTATAGCTCAGCGGCTTAAGCGCTTGCCTGGCAAGCCTGAGGACATGAGTTTGATTCCTGGTATTAAAAAATAAATAAATAAATAAATAAATAAATAAATAAATAAATAAATAAATAAAAATGCAAGCAGTCCATGTATAAGGTATGCACATATGTTTGTTGGAGATTTGTTTGAATCCCCTCAAATTTGTGTGCATTCACAAATCCATTCCAACATTCCTTCACTCTCATAAATTTGTGATTTTTTTCAATCCTTCTCATTCCCTGATTAATAAAATAAAACCCTTGCTGTGCCAATTTTATATCTGCGTGAGAGTCATGATTTTTATCTTTTGAAGGAAAGAGGAATTTTCACGTGTGCTGTGTGTGTGCGTTTGCTTCTTCTTTGTGGTATGTTGTAGGAACTGGCAGTGCCCACCATCACCCCCTCAGCCATCTGACGCAGTGGATCCTGGAGAGGCCCCAGGGGAGGAGGAGCTGGCCTCCCACTGGGTGACCCAGAGCAGGGTAAGGACCAGAGTCACACAGAGGGAACGTTGAGGGGCATGAAGTTCCTGTTTTCTGGTCTCAGCGCCCTATCAGAAGCACCCAGATTTCCTGCCTCTCCAGGACTCTGGGGCTCAGGGCAGCTGGGCTAGAAAGCAATTGCAGGAGCAGTCTTGGCAGAAATTGGGGCGGGAGCCTTGCCGTGGTTGAGATCAACTAGCAGGAGACTGGAAGCCTTCAGGCAGAAATGTGAGATATCACAGAAAGAGGAAGGACCTATTATGAACGGAGAGAAAGAAAATGGGCACCGGTGGAGAAAAAAAGAACAGAAGCCTGCAATTATTCAGGCTGGGTGGAAGGAGAACTACACACAAAAAGAAGCTGCATTTACCCCTAAATCCTTCCAACAGTGTAAGATGTCACTCTGAGTAGCTAATGCTTTCAGATCAATGTTGCCCCAAGAATGGTGTTGTTCTCCTCATCTAGTTCCCAGGAATACCCGTGACTACTCCATCCTCACCTCAGGAGAGCATAAATTCTTACTGAATACCCACAGGGGGTAAGGATCCACCCTGGAGGGTCCCAGACACCTTGAGCCAGCTTCATTGATCTAGGTGTTGCAGTAGAAGCCATTTGAAATGCAATAAAAATTTTAATCCTATATTTCTAACACTGTTCAAGAATGACACAGAAATGAATGTTCATGAATGACACAGTTGTTTCTCATATTAGAGAGCTACAGAACTTATGCTTCTGGAGGTGCCTGCGAGATAAGTGGTATTCTGCTTACTTTCAAGTCCCAGAGAGTTATCACCTCAAGTACACCTCTGCCCAGTCTCAGACAATGATTGACTCTTCCCCCGTGTTATATGATAGTAACCTTATGAGTTTCTGTGAAAGTAAATTCTGCCTAGCAATTAATGACAAAGATACGTGTAACCAACTATAGGATGTTATGTTATCTGCCTTTTTGTACTTCCTTCTGAAAACCTATATCAGGGATTAGTAACCTCCAAACAAGGCTGGTGATTTGAACCTCTGGGCTCTGCAGTCCTCTAGCATAACAAACTGCCTTCCAAAGTCTCTCTGGTGCTGTTGTCTTTTGTTTGGCCTGGTCCTAAATTCTGCCTCCTCACCAGCCCTTTCTGTGGGCTCCTCCCACTCCTGCACAGGAGTCTGGCAAGGCTTGGCCTAGCGATGTCGCTTTCACTAAGACACACTGTCCTAGCCAGGCAGAGTGGCACATGCTTGTAATTACAGCCCTTCGGGAGGCTGAGCCAGGAGGACTGCAAGTTCAAGTTCAGCGTGAGAAACTTAGGAACACCCTGTTTCAAAAGAAAAGATAAAAGAGGCTGGGGTTGTAGGTCAAGTTGGTGGTAAGACAGAGAGACAGAGAGAGAATCCTTCCTGGGAGAAGAAGGTGGGGCAAGGCAGGATGGGATGGTGATGCATTTGCAGACGGTGATGTCCAAGGAAGATCACACTGTGTTCGGGAGCTACCCAACTCTGCAGAAAGGCCTGACCCAGAATCTTAGCATCCCGCTGCTAACCCAGGAGGGCAAAGGAATGGAGAGCAGCCAGGTCTGCTGGGAGAAGCTTGAGCCAACTTAGGCAAGGACAGACAGTCAGGAGTCAGCTGTGCTGGTGT